CCAAAAAAAAAAAAAAAAGGATAGCCTAGTAAATCTCTCTCTCTCTATCTTTCTCTCTCTCTGTGTTTTTATGCCCATTTGCTCTTTATCTTCACTCTTCCTCCCCTCCCTCCCCTCCTTCCTTCCTTCCCTTCCCTCCCCTCTCCTTTCCTTTTTCCTCTCCTCTCCTCCCCTCCCCTCTCCTTTTTCCTCTCCTCTCCTCTCCTCTCCTCTCCTTTCCTTGCTTTGGTGTGTTCTTCAGCCCCACGTGGTTGTTCCTTGGGCTGGGAAGGGCAACATACCAGGAAGAACTCCACTAGACCAGCCTCTTGGCTTTAAATGCCACTGAACAAATCGCGTGGTTTTTTCTTTCTGCCTCGGGAAAGACAGTTGAGTGACGGCTGGGGAAGAGAAACAGCCTTCCCACTGTGGCCCCCGAAGACTAAGAAGACAGAGCATCACTGCCCCAGACACAAGAACGTAAGAGAAGCGGTGCTGGATCAGGCCAGTGGCCCACCCAGTCCAACACTCTGTGTCACCCAGTGGCCAAAACCCACCGCCCCTCAGGAGGTCCAGGGGGCCAGAACTCCAGGAGCCCTCCCACTGTTGCCTGCCAAGCACCAAGAATACAGAGCAACACTGCCCCAGAGAGAGAAAAATCAAAGAAGCCATGTTGGATCAGACCAATGGTCCATCCAGTCCAGCACTCTGTGTCACACCGTGGCCGAAACCCAGGGGCCATCAGGAGGTCCACCAGTTGGGGCCAGGACACTAGAAGTCCTCCCACTGTTGCCCCCCCCCCCAAAAAAAGCGCCAAGAAAACAGAGCATCACTGCCTCAGACATAGTCTTCCATCCATACTTTGTGGCTAATAGCCACTGATGGATCTCTGCTCCATATGTTTATCTGTCCCCCCCCCCCGGCTTGTGGCATCGGGGTCTATCAAGACAAATGCCCTTGGCCTGCTCCCTCCTCCACCGCTTCCTCAGATGGAGTGAGGAGGTCGGCTGCTGCTTCGTCTTTTCTGTGCCTTACCACCATGCTCAGCAACGAGGACGGCTGTGGCCTTCCCGCGGCATTCGGGGCGAAGAGCAGGGCCCTCACCACGGCACAGGTGGAAGGGCAGCGGCCATATTCCTACTCTCCTTGTTGCAGTAGGGGGGCTGGGGGAGCAGTAGCCAAGGGCACCCTAGAGGCCTTGGGTGGGCCTTGTGTGGGAAATAGCATGGTAGACTTGAAGAAGAAGAAGAAGAAGAGGAGGAGGAGGAGATTGGATTTATACCCCGCCCTTCACTACCCAAGGGAGTCTCAGAGCGGCTTACAAACTCCTTCCCCTTCCCCTCCCCACAGCAGACACCCCCTGTGAGGTAGGTGGGGCTAGGAGAGCACTTTTGAGAGCTGCCCTTGATAGAACAGCTCTGAGAGAACTTGTGACTGACCCAAAGTCACCCAGATGGCTGCATGTGGAGAAGAGGGGAATCAAATCCAGTTACCCCAGATTAGATTCCACGCTCCTAACCACTACACCAAACTGGTTTGATAGATTCTTGGTCTGATCCAGCGTGGCTGCTTCCTGGGAATAGGTAGCTAATGAATCTCTGCAAATAAACAAAAATAGTCCACTCGAATTTAGCATTGTGGCGTCCTCGCTTATTGGGGAGACTGTTTCTCCTTTATTTATTTATTTATTATTCAAATTTATACCCCGCCCTCCCCCGTAGGGCTCAAGGCGGCTTACAAGGCAAGATAATACTTGCAACATAAAACAACAATACAAAAATACCAATATATATACATTTTAAAAGCATATTATACAATTTAAAAAACCCGTCCTAAATCACATAAAATGCTCGGTGATAACCAGAACTCCTAACCCCAAAGATGGCGGGATAGTACCAACGATTCTTGGGAGACAGTCTATAGCGTCGCTATTTATTCAGATGTTCCAAAAGATCTTCTCAGGGCTCTTCTCAGGGCCTCTACCAGCCCCCCCAGATGGTAGCATAATGGGGGGGGGCAGCGGCCCCTACTCAAAAGCCTGGTGGAAGAGCTCCGTCTTGCAGGCCCTGCGGAACTGCATCAGATCCCGCAGGGCCTGGATCTCCCCTGGGAGCTCATTCCACCAGGTAGGGGCCGCTACCGAAAAGGCCCTGGCCCTTGTGGCGGCCAATTTCACATCCCTGGGGCCCGGAATAGATAACAGGTTTTGGGCCCCAGACCATAGTGCTCTTGGGGGAACATATGGGGAAAGGCGGTCCCTTTAAGACACACTCTGTGTACATGAACTTAGTAGATTTCTGCTGCCACCAGGAATTCCAAATCTCTCTCTTTTGGTAGAATGTCTGGGTGCTTCAGAGGACTATGTGGCCCTGAGGAAGGGCTGTTCTGATTGCTGGGATAAGTTTAAACAAATATTGATTGATTTATAAAAGAACAAAATAGGTTTCTGGGTATTTTTGAACTGTTTTTGAAGAAAGAAAATGTAACTGACAAAGCTTGGTGTCACACACAGTCTCTCATACACCAAAACTCCACTCTGACAGGTTTAGACACTCAGTCTAAACTCTCTCATATACAGCCACACAGGCTGAACTCTTTTGCTCATATAGCCACATGGGCTACTCTCTTGCTCATATATAGCCATACAGGCTGAACTGTCTCTTGCTCATATAGCCACACAGGCTGAACTAAGCTCCAACTGCTTCCTCTGTCACACAGGCAGTCACAAAAACTCTACACTCCTCTCTTCCAGAACACAGAATCACCTCAGAGACATCTCTCCTCCCACACTCTCAGTCATCAGCCAATCACATCACACTTGTCTCCCTCTATCACTCTCCTTACATTACTGCAGTCACACTAAACATTTAAAGAAACACACACACCAAAACATGAAATCATTACAAGCGTCTCTATATTTTCTCTCTCTAATGAATCTGATCCCAATCGCAGCTGCACTAAAAGCATAAAATGCACATCTCTAATTAACTCTAGGTTAAAGTCCAACAGCTGGAACAAGAGCTGCAGCCCCTGGTGGACGCACGCGCAGAGAGCAGTCGGCTTCGTAAGCTGAACGTGGCCTTGGAGACCAAATACAATCAGGTAGAGTTGGAAATTAAGAGCTGCAGAATTTTGACTTTTGTTGGATTTGAAATACTCTGGATCCAAGGCAGGGTATAGAGGGAGTTGCAGCTGAACAGACCCCGAGCACTAGAAATCTTGGCCAGGGGTTCTGAGACGTCATCTGAAATGCTTTGTGCCCTTTCCAGCTATTTTGCAAAGCCCTGTCGATTCAGAATTCCGCTTAAAAAAAAAAATGTCCCCAATCCAAGGTTCTACACGTGGCTGTCGAGTCCAAGGCTGAACCCCGTGGGCCCCCAAGGGCTGTTGTACACAAGTAACCAAACTCTTTATACAGAAGTTTTATTTAATTTCTCTCAAAACAAAAAAGTTTAAGCTACAGGCGACACAGCGCTCTAAAATCACACAACAGAAAACCCAAGAAAACTAGCTTATCTAAAAAGTTTCCAAAACCTGCGTTAGATGGCACAGACCTCAACTTCAAGAGTCACAGGCCATAACTTATGCGTTCTCCACAGGGCTTTTTTTGGGCAGGACGCACAGGAACGGAGTCCGGCTGGCTCCAGAGTTGGCCATGCCCACTACAGCCAAAACCTCTGTGCGTGTGTGGCTACAGAGGGAAGGCCCGGAGAGTGACACACACACCCCAGTGACTCCAAGGCAGGTGGGCCAGGGGGGCCCCTGGAAGAATCAGGGAGGCATTTAAATGCCTCCCCGTGCCTTCCCCGGCCTGTCCAAGGAGGGATACCCGGGCAAGCCTTTAAACTGCCTTCCCTTCCCTTCAAAGGGGGGGCTTGCCCAGGCTCCCCACAGCCGTGGGGCACCCAGGCAAGCCAAGGGAAGGCAGTTTAAACTACCTCCCCTCCCCTCCAAGGGCCGGCTTGCCCGAGCAATCCAAGGGAAGGCATGGGGTGTGGCCTGATATGCTAATGAGTTTCTGCTGTTTGGTGTGGCCTGTTATGCTAATGAGTTCCTGCTGGGCTTTTTCTACAAAAAAAGCCCTGGTTCTCCACATTGCTGTCTATTGCAGTATGAGCATGTCCCTAGTCCAGGCCTTGAGTCCGTCAGAATCCAAGCTAGCCTCCTTTTCCCCAGGCTCTTAGCTCAATTATAGCTTTTAGGCCAAGCAGCATCAGGTGATGATGGCACCCAATCAGGACACGTTCTTGCCGGAACCCTCTAGAAATTTACCTCATGACTCCTGACGTCCTCTCCTCCCGTCCTGTGGGCCGCAGGTTCTCATGAGAAGCTCATTACAATGTTTCCAGCTCTGTCCTTGAAGATGATAATGGCTGTGTGTAGGCAGAGACCAAATAGCATCACCTGCAGGATGGAACATACCCATTAACCCTTGAGGGGGGTCAGGGGTGCTTTGCCTCACAATGGCCATAGTGGGACCCCCAAGGAAGTCCAAGGCATCAGATCCTACTATGAAGCCACTGCTCTTGTGAACATTATAAAACTCTATAGCACAAGACACAAAGTAGACTGGAAACTTATCGAGTTTACCGAGGGGTCATTTCGTAGAAAAAGAGGTGCAGGAGCTCATTAGCATAACTTATTAGCATAACTCATTTGCATATGCCACACCCCCTGACATCACTGGAAGTGTGTCAGAAGGCAACACTCACCGCTCAGGCTCCACTGGACTGTTTTGGATTGCTAGCTATTGGGGGGGGGGGAAGGGTGGAATTTGCCCACCAG